GCCGAGAGCTCACACTGACATGACACTTGGCGTTGCTGGCCAGAGTGCTCTGCCCCTTACGTTTGCTGAGCTGCGTGGCAGGCCTTCGAGGGGGTGCGCTCCTTGTACCCGCTGTACAGAAGGGGTACTGAGATCAGCGAGGTGAAGTGACCTGCCCGTGCACACAGTAACTGACAGCGCCAGGATTCGTTCTGGCTCTGGAGCCTGTGCTCTTGGCTGTTCAGTCACACGCCTTTCGGTTCTAATGACAGCTCACTTAACTGTGCTCATGCATGACAGGACTGCGCTAAGCACCTTCGGCATGTCCTCACTGGATTTTTTTTTTCCACTTTTGCTATAGGGCACATGTGCTTGCAGAGAGAGAGGAGGGGGGGAGAGACATCACCCCCCAGGGGAGGTGACCATGCCACAATCCCTTCTCCATTCTCCTCTTAGGATTTTGTGCATGTACACACATATGCCCAGTGTGTTTTTAAGCCCCTGTGTCTGGAACTCGAACCACGATTGGCCATGTGGGAATCCAGCCACCTTCGCCCCCACACCGCCCGCCCGGTTGGCCCATCTCAGCTAATTTTTACAATAGCCCATGACAGCCGAGCAGCGTTTCGGAATCATGACCGATTCCCTGGCCACCACTGGTGGAGATCGTAGCTACGCAGAGCGCCTCGTCTGAGCCAGGCGCTGTTTACTCCTCGCGGTAAACTGCACCAAGCAGTTAAGTCACCGAAGAAGTGGCAGATGGTGGGGCCAGCAGGTAGCGTAGTGGTTAAGGTGCTGGACTCCCACTTGGCTAACCGTGTTTTGAGTCCCAGACCTGGTGACTTGAAACTCACACTGGGTATGTGTGTGTCCATGCCTGAAATCCTGAGAGGAGAAGGCAGGAGAGGGGCCTGTGGCGTGGCCATCCCCCTGGGGGGTGCTTTCTTTCTCTCTCTGTCTTTCTGTCTCCCTCTGTCTCTCCAGCAAGCACATGTATCCTATAGTAAAAATCTCTTAAAAAGAAGTGGCAGGTGGGGCCAGTGGGTGAAGCATCACGGAAGAGGAAAGCCGGTCACAGGAAACCACGTTTTGTATGACCCCGTTTGCATGGGTTGTCCAGGGTGGGCAAGTCCACAGTGACAGAAAGCAGCCGAGTGCTTGCCTGAGGTTGGGGGGAGAAGGACTGATGGCAGGTGCGGAGTTTCTCTTTTTTGTTTTTGGAGAGGTTTTTGCTGTAGGGCACGTGCACTTGCCAGAAAGACAGAGACAGAAAGCGAGAAATTACCCCCCTGGGGGGATGGCCACACGGCAATCCCTTCTCCTCCATTCTCTCGGAATCTTGGGCACGCATACACATGCTCCCAACGTTAGTTTAAGCCACCGGGTCGGAGACTCAAACCGCGGTCGACTACGTGGGAGTCCAGCAACATAGCCATTACGCCAACTGCTGGTCCCGGGAGTTTCTTTTTGAGGTGATGGAAACATTTTGGACTTAGTGGTGATTTTTGCACAACCATGAATATGCCAAAAACCATTAAGCTGTCTACATTTTAGGTGGGTCTTTTTGGTATATAAATCATATCTCATTTCATTTAACCACCACACCACCTACCAGTCCCTATATTTTAAAAAAAGACTTAGCAAGCAGGCCTGGCTGGTGGAATGGTGGTTAAAATGGCTGGATCCTGGGGACTAGTGGGTGGCGTGGTGGTTAAGACACTGGCATTCCCATCTGGCTGACGATGGTTCGAGTCCTGGATTTGGTGGCTTGCTTTGCTTGCTTATTATGAAAAATATGGCTGGATCCCACATGGCCAACTGTGCTGTTTGAATTCTGGACTGGTTGCTTGAAAGACACATGTTTTAGGTATGGCGCATGTACGTGCATACCTAAAACCTTGAGAGGCGAGTGGAGGGAAAGGAACTGTAGCGTGGCCATTCCCCCCAGGAGGTGATTTCTCTCTCCAGTGAGGACATGTACCCTATAGCCAAAAAGAAAAAGGGAAGCAAAAGGAGAAAAGTGAGCAGGTGGTGGCAAAGCCACTGGACCTACATCGGGAGGGTCCTGGGTTCCTGTCCTGGGACGTCCCTGTGACCCCGGCTGGCGGAGACGGGGTGGGTCGTGGTGCGAAGGTCCTCTGTCTCTCTCGTGCCAAGGCAGGGACTCTGAGAAGGGAGTAGTAGAGCTGCTGAGAGTTAGACATTTGCCGCGTGCCGGCCACCGGGCCGGGTTTATTTACTTATTCTTGGAGAGGTTTTTTCTCTATAGGGCGCGTGCGCTCGCCAGACAGACAGAGAGAGACAGAGAGACAGAAAGCGAGAAATCGCCTCCCAGGGGGGATGGTCACGCCGCAATCCCTTCTCTTCCTTTCTCCTCTCGGGATCTTGGGCACGCATGCACACGCGCCCGGTGTGAGTTTTAAGCCACCGGGTCCAGGACGCGAATCGCGATCAACTACGTGGGAGTCCAGCGACATAGCCATTACGCTAACTGCTGGTCCCCCAAACTGAGTTTATAAACTGACTCAGCCTTCAGAACATCCTGGCAAAATGCGTCCTCTTAGGCAGTTTTTCCTTTTTGTAGATTTTTGCCATAATGCACTCACTGGAGAGACAGGAAGACAGAAAAAGGGAGATAGTCCCAGTGGGGGGCCACGCAGCGGTCCCTTCGTTCTCCTCTTGGGCTTTTGGCACACATACACGTGCCCGGGTGTGATTTTCAGGCCACCATCTTGGGGACTCAAACATGGCTGACCATGTGGGAATCTAGCATTTTAACCACCCTGCAACCTGCTGCCCCCTTAGGGAGCTTGTTTTGCTCTTGAGGAAACTGGGGCTCAGAGAGGTTAGCAAGAGTCGGTGGAGCCTCAGACTTGGGATCCTGCAGCCGAATGCAGTCAGCCTCCCGGGAGAGCGAAAGCACCCCACTGCTGGGGTCTTGGGACCGAGCAAGTGGCCAGGCTGGCCTGGGTGGGCTCTGGGGAGCAGACCCTGGAGGCCAGGGAGCTGGGAAGCCCTGAGCCCTAGAACCCCTGAGGGGAGGGGTGGGGCTGACCAGAAGTCTAGCCTCACCCTCCGCCCTCCCTGCCTCTCTCACTTCCTCCTCCTCCTCCTGCCCCCAGATCCGCTTTATCCTCATTCAGAACCGGGCTGGCAAGACGCGCCTGGCCAAGTGGTACATGCAGTTTGATGACGACGAGAAGCAGAAGTTGATTGAGGAGGTGCACGCCGTGGTCACCGTCCGAGATGCCAAACACACCAACTTTGTGGAGGTGATGCCCCCGCCCCCATGCTCCCACACCCCTGCACCTCCCCTGCCTGCCCTGCCCCCACCAGTCCTGGACCCCTTCCCCGAGCTCATTCATCCAGCATGCTTTTAGCTTGTTTTCTTCCTTCTTCTCTGTTATTTCTTGGATATTTTTCATTGTGAAAAATCACAAACATATAGATTAATGCAATGAGAGAAAAGTAGATTGAAAATTCACATACCCACTACCCACATTTAATCACTATGATTGTTTTTTTTTAATTTACTGAAGGGCACATGCACTTGCACAGGAGAGGGGAGGCGAGAAAGCAGTTCCCACGGGGAATGTTCATGCCACAATCCCTTCCCCTCCATTTCGCCCTCCTTTCGGATTTTGGGCGGACACACACACACATGCACACACACATACACACACTCAGTGTGTTTCTAAACTGCTGGTTCTGGGACTTGAACTGTGAAGTCGGTCATGTGGGATCCAGCCACCTTAACCACTGTGCTGCAGGTTGGCCCACAGTATTAATATTTTGCCTTTTTACTTTACCTTTTTGTTGGGGGGGGGGGGAAAAATTTTTTTTCTGGTACCAACAAATGCTTATAGAAAAAAATAACTTACTCTAGAAGGCAGAGATAGTATAATGAACATCCCTTGCTACAGTGTTTCAAATAAATTATAGACTACATTTTTTTTTATTTATTTCATTTGATTTGTTACTTTTTTTTTTAATTTGACAAGACAGAGAGAGAGAGAAAGGGAAAGTGAGAAAGCAAGCCACCAGGTCCAGGACTTGAACTGCGGTTAGCCATGTGGGAGTCCAGCACCTTTAACCACCACGCCACCTGCCAGCCCCATCGTATTTCTTTTTTTAAAAATTTGGCATAGGGTGTGTGCTCTCAGTGGACAGAGCGAGAGGGAAAGCGAGAAGCACCGTAGTGGGGCGGTTACGGAGCACACAGCCCCTTCTTGGGGCTCCTCTCAGGGTCGTGGGCGCGCACATGCAGCCAGCATCCGGGACTCAGCTGCAGTCACTTGGGATTCAGATGCCAGATGCCCCAGCCCCCGTGCCTCCTGGCGTGCCCCCAGACATCATATTTTGGCCCTAAATATGTCAGGATGGATCTCAGAAAATAAAGACATTCCCTACATCCCCGTAGTACCATTCTCACACCTGAGAATGTCGTAATGCTTCCTTAGCACTACTCTAATACTCGGCCAGTATGTGAATTTCCTCAGAGCTAATCATTCAAAGCAAGTAAAGGATATATATATATATTTTTTTTTTTTTAAAGAGGCTTTTGCCTTAGGGTGCATGCACTCGCTGGAGAGAGAGACAGAGACAGTGAGAGAGAAAGTGAAAAATCATCCCTGAGGGTGATGGCCATGCGTAGTCTCTTCTCCATTCTCCTCCTGGGAGCCTGAGCACACATGCACACACACCCTGTGTGAGTTTCAAGCCATTGAGTCTGGGACTCAAACCAGTCAGCCACGTGGGAGTCCAGCGACGTACCCGCTGTGCCCCCTGCTGCCCCTGCCAGTGAACAATCTTACATTGCTTTTGGTTGCTGTGTTCCTTTGACCACTCTTGCTCTTCCTTTTTTTTTTAACAGCCAAGGGCATATGTACCCAACAGAGATGGGGTGGGGGGCTAAAGCATCCCCCAATGGGGCACAGCCATGCCGCAATCCCTTCTTCATTCCTTATCCTGTCGGGGTGTGGGCAAGCATGCACACATGCCTGGCATGATTTCAAGCTGCCAGGGCTGGGATTTGATCCATGCGGGTAGCCATGCAGGAGCTGGCTGCCCTAACCAGTAGGTCACAGGACTGGGCTTCTTTAGCCTCTTATAATCTCATGTATTCCCGTGACATTAAATCGTACAAGAGATCGGGACCAGCAGTTGGCGTAATGGCTATGTCACTGGACTCCCACGTAGTCGACCGCGGTTCGAGTCCCGGACCCAGTGGCTTAAACTCACGCTGGGCTCGTGTGCGTGCGTGTCCAAGATCCCGAGAGGAGAATGGAGGAGAAGGGATTGCGGCATGGCCATTCCCCCCGGGGAGTGATTTCTTGCTTTCTGCCTCTCTCTGTCTTTCTGGCAAGCGCACGCACCATTTAGCAAAAAACCTCTCTCAAAAAAATAAATCTGTGCATGGAGGACTAGCAGATGGCGTAATGGCTATGTCACTAGACTCCCACGTAGTCGACTGTAGTTTGAGTCCTGGACCCGGTGGCTTAAAACCACTGGGCGCATGTGTGTGCCCAAAATCCCAAGAGGAGTATGGAGGAGAAGGGATTGTGGCGTGGCCATCCCTCCAGGGTGATCTCTCGCTTTCCGTCTCCTCTCCAGTGAGCACACTTGCTCTGTAGCAAAAATCTCTCTCTCTAAAAAAAAAGAAAATCTGTGCATGGATTTTCAAACTGTTTAACACCAAAATAAATGAGTTTAATTCCTTTTTCCCATGCACTTTTTGAAACCCCCCTGTATTCCGGATGGTGATAAGTGCTAGGGAGAGGATAAACAGTGGGGTCAGGCGTGTGCGGGCAGGCATGCGCAGGCAGGTGTGTGCACATGCGCCGGGTGTATGTGCCCGGGAGTGGAGTGTGGGTTGTGGTGGCTGGGTCAGGCAGGCATCGCTGCAGAGGTGACATTCGAGCCAAGGCCTAAAGGGACTGAGAGGGTGAAAGGAGATGGTATCTGGGGAACATTCCAAGCCAGGGAACAGCAAGTGCAAAGGCCCTGAGGCAGGAACATGTCTGTGTCATTCCAGGAATAGCAGAAGGCCCACGTGCCTGGGGGGTAAGCCAGGAGGAGGGTGGGAGGAGATGAGGGCGAAAAGAGAAAGGGGCAGGCCTAGCCTCTGGTGCAGTTGGCGGCATGCCAGACTGCAGAGCTGGAAGCCACATGCTGACTGTGGTTTCAAATCCCTGGGCAGGTGGTTGTGAAAACATCCTGGGTACGTGCTGTGTGTCCGGATACCTGGGGGGCTGGGGGACGCAGCTTGAAAACATACCGGACACGTGTGTGTGCACCCCAGATCCTGACAGATGAGAGAAGTGGAGAAGGGATTGCGGTGTGACCGTGCCCCGTGGAGGGTGCTTTCTCCCTCTCCTGTTCTCTCTGTCTCTCGAGTGAGTGCAAACTCCCTCTGGCAATTAAGAAAAAATGAGGGCTAGCAGGCGGCGTGGTGATTAAGGCGGCTGGATCCCACGTTCCTGAAAGGAGGGAGAAATGGAAAAGAAGGAAATGACCATCCCCCATGGGGAGTACTTTCCCTCGCTCGCTGTCTTCAAACACGTGCGTCTTCTAGCAAATTGTTAAAAAATAAATAAATAGGACCAGCAGTTAGCGTAATGGCTATGTCCCTGGACTCCCATGTAGTTGACCACAGTTTGAGTCCTGGACCCGGTGGCTTAAACTCATGCCAGGAGTGTGTGCGTGTGCGTGCCCCAGACCCCGAGAGGAGAATGGAGGAGAAAGGATTGCGGCGTGACCATCCCCCCTGGGGGGTGATCTCTCGCTTTCTATCTCTGTCTGTCTGTCTCTGTCTGGCGAGCGCACGCACCCTATAGCAAAAACTTCTCCAAAAAAAAAATATATATAAATAAATAAATAAACAAACAAATAAATAAATAAATAAAAAGGACGTACTTCCAAGAGGAGGGTGAGACCCGTTGCTGGAGAGGCCAGCAGAGGCTGCCAGTGGCTTTGCCATGAGCAGCCCACTGGGGTGGTGGAGAGAGAATGAGGGGAGAGAGACTGGGCGTCACAACGGGGGCGTCTTGCTGCCAGCCCAGTACCAGGTCCTAGGCTGAGCGCTGGCAAGGATATACTTTTGAGGGCCTGGCTGGGGGCAGTGGGGCCTAGAGAGACAGGATAGCTGCAATGGCGGGCTGCTCAGGGAGCTGTCACGGGAGCGACCCTCTGAACGCAGCCACCTGCGCACGCATGGTGCATCTGTTCCCAGACATGGCTGCGTGCCTCCTCTGTGGCCAGCCCTGAGTGGGTGCACAGCCTCGACTGAGACAGCTTTGTACTGCCTTCCCTGGGCTCACGGTCCTTGAGGGACATAGGCCTGTCCCCTGGCAGTGATGACCAGAACGGGCAGGGCTGGATGGAGGAGGCTGGCAAGGGAGGGGTGCAGTGGGGAATGGGAGAGAGTTGACCCCGCCCCGTCCCCATCCAACTCGGGAGTGGTGGGGAAAAGATGCCGAATGTCTCGCTTAAGACATTGAGATAGGCTCAGCCCCATGGTCTAGCGAGTAGCGGACCCAGATCACACGTGACTGACCAGGGTTCAAATCCTAACCTGGGAGGCTTGAAAAACACACTAGGCACATGCCCCAAATGCCAGCAGGACGGAGTGGAGGAGAAGGGACTGTGGTGTGACCATGTCCCACTGGGGGGTGCTTCCTTCCTCTCCCCTGCCCCTACCTCTAACAAAAACACAACCTCTGGCAACTGGAAATAAAGAGAGAGGGAGAGATCAAGACCAGGATGGGCTTCCTGGAAGAGAGGGCTTGCAAGGGAAAGACAAAGGGAAGTAGCCAGCCAGAGGACCTGGGCGCCATCCTTCCCTCCCCGGGTTTACTCACCTCGTTCCTTACCTCCCAGCTGAGTTTTCTAGGCCTGAGTTTCCTGCGGCTGCTGTCACAGACGACCCCAGATTAGGGGTTTAGCGGAAACAGCTCTCGCGGGCGGGCACTCCTGTGCAGGCCGTAGGGGACAGCCCGTGCCCTCGCCTGTCCGGCTTTTAAAGGCCCCCCGCCATCCTCAGCTGGCGTGCCCCCGTCCCAGAGCGAGCCACGTGGTGGCTTCCAGTCTCCCATCCATGCTGTCCCAGATTTCTTTCCCTTACAAGGACCTCCGCGATGACCTCAGTCCCACCTGAGCTGCCCGCATCCCCTCCCGTCACCGGCATCTTAATCACACCTGCCAAGTCCCTCTTGCCATGTAAGGTAACCTACTTCCAGCGCCCAGGGGTTAGGACGTGGCCATCTTGGGGGGCCATTATTCTCTTGCCCACAGCACCTGTTCCGGGGCAGCCTGTGCGGGGCAGTGCTGAGGGCACAGTGCGACAGCCCCAGCTCCCCTCGCAGCCTCACAGTCCAGCGAGGACAGAGCCATCCACAGACAGTGAGGACCCGGGGTGGGCTGCGGAGGCCTGGCAGCAGGCGTGGACAGTGGCCTGGTATTCGGAGGGAGTACGGTGCGGTCTGCAGGAAGTGATGAGGGTCTGGGGCACAGCCCTGAGAAGCATGGAAGCTCAGCACAGGGCGAGGCCCTGCACAGTGGGACCGCAGCCTGCAGGGTGGGAGTGGCCGGGTGGGAAAGCAGGAGGGACAGACCTTCAGGGAAGCTCTGGTGGGTCACATGTGCTCGAGCACGTGTAGGATCACTGGAACATTCGAAAACACACTCGGGTGGGCCAGCCCTGTGGCATGGCAGTGTGCACTGCTTAGCAGAAGCCGGATCCCATGTGGGACCGAGGTTCAAATCCCTGAGCTGGTCAGGCGAGATCCGATGGGCTGGAGGAAGGGGATCTCTGTGGAAGATGCTTACCTCTGCCTCCCTCTGTCTCTCACATGCGTGTGCGCGTGCTCTGTCGTGAATAAAGACCCTCAGGATAGAGATGAACAAAAGAATGACTGGGAACAATAAAAATCCAAGAACTGATGTTGGCGCCTGAGGTTGCCACCAGGTGGCGCCACACACATACCCCAAACTAGAACTGGGATTTTTGCAGGTTTGGGCTGAAGGCAGTGTTCTGACGGACTGGGAGTGCGCGCGCGGGGAGCGTGCACACTGGGAGGGTGCACACGGGGGCTCTGTGGCCTCTTCATTTGCACATATGTGTACACAGCGTCTGCGATCTGGTCCTGGCGCGTTTCTTCGTGGCCAGCGCGTTTGCGTTCCTGATGCTTACGTGTGTTTCAGGTCAGTGAAGGCAGGGTCCTGGTCGTCTTGGTTACAGTGGTGCCCCTCACTCTGCCCCACGCAGACCTGGCACACAGTAGATGCTCAGGACATGATTGTAGAATGATTGGTGAATTGATTCCAGGCTAAGAAATTTGCGTCTCTCCAGACGTAGTAGGAAATCGGGAAACAGAGGCAAAGGTGGGGCGCATGCCGGGAGCACGCCCCTCTCCCTCTCAGCTCTGGGTCCCTGCACCGGCTGTTCTCTCCCCCACATCCCTGCGCTGCGAACCCAGGAAGGACAGGGCTGGGCCTTTCTCTGTCCCTGCCGTGTCTCCAGCACAGGACCAGGGCGGTGGTGGGCCTCGGGGGCCCCGCCATGCTCTGGCTCCGCTCTGCCCCCGTTGGTCCCAGCTCCCGTCACTGACCGCCTCTCCGCCCACAGTTCCGGAACTTTAAGATCATTTACCGGCGCTACGCTGGCCTCTACTTCTGCATCTGCGTGGACGTCAACGACAACAACCTGGCCTACCTGGAGGCCATCCACAACTTCGTGGAGGTACGGCAGCCCCCCAGCCCTCCCCTGCCTTGCAGTCCTGGCTCAGGTCTGCTGCAGCGGAACGCTGTCGTCGTGTCCTCGCTGTCTCTGTCCCTCTCCTGTCCCTGCCCGTCCAGCTGTGAACCAGTTCCCTGTCTGGATCCTTCTCCCTCTGCCTGGGCCTCTTTTCTGCCATCTCCTGTGGTCACTCAATGATCTTGCTCTGTCTTTCTCACTGTCTCTGTCTCTTTCTCCCTTTTCCCTCTCTCTCTAGATCTCTCTCCCTGACACTTCTCCCACGCTCCTCAGTTTCTCTCTCTATTTTTATTTATTTATTTTTTTGCCATTGGGCATATGTACTCATTGGAAAGAGACACAGAGAGGGAAAGTGGAAGATCACCCCCCCCCAAGGTGATCCCTTCCCCTCCTAGGATTTGGGGTATGCACGCACACGTGCCTGGCATGATTTTCAAGCTGCTGGGTCCAGGACTCAAATCAGGGTCAGCCATGTGCGAGTCCAGCACCTTAGCCACCATGCCACCTGCTGGCCCCTCTCTGTTTTTACTAACAAGCGTGCTTGGGTTCGCCAGAGAGACTGAGGAGGGAGGGGAGAAAGCACCCCATGGGGCACGGTCACCCTGCAGTTCCTTCTCTGTCGCTCACTTCCTTTGGGATTTTGGGTACGCACACGCATGCCCCTGGAGCATTTCTCAAGCCATGTTTTGGGACCGAAACCGTGTCATCGGCCATGTACGGTCCAGCCACCCGACCCACCAGGCCACAGGGCCAACCCACTTCCCGTTTGGTCTTTGTTTATTTCTCATTGTGCGTCTCTCATCCTTCTCAACTTTCTCTCTCTGTGTCCCTTTTCCTCTCCCCTTTGGCCTCTTTCTGATGGCGTGTGTCTGTCTGTCTGTCTCTCCCTCCCTCTCTCCGTCCATCTTACCAGCTCTGCCTTCCTCCCCAGGTCTTAAACGAGTATTTCCACAATGTCTGTGAACTGGACCTGGTGTTCAACTTCTACAAGGTAGGCCCTGGCGAAGAGGGGGCAGAGGGGCTAGGACTGGCGGTGCCTGGACGCCCGGGGCTCTAGGCCCAGGGGCCCTTTTCTGACCAGCCCGCCTCGGCCTCCCTGCACGCAGGTTTACACGGTCGTGGATGAGATGTTCCTGGCCGGCGAGATCCGCGAGACCAGCCAGACGAAGGTGCTGAAGCAGCTGCTCATGCTTCAGTCCCTGGAGTGAGGCAGCGGCGGCCTGACCCTCCCGGCCTCGCCTGCTCGTGTCCCCTGTCCTGGCCTGTGGCTCACCGCAGCCCCCGCCCTCTGCTGCCAGGAGGAAGGGACCCAGCTGGGTCTGGGCCACAGCTGGGGGCGGAGGCCACCCTGTGTGTCCCGAGTAATTGTGCCGTTGTCATGTGACTGTGTGTGTGTGTGTGTGCGCGCGTGTGTGCGTGTGTGTGTGTGTGTGTGCGTGCGCAGAGCTCCCAATAAACCTATGGTCCTGCCTGGCCTTGCTGTCTTCTCTGGGAGCTACAGACGCTCAGGGTGCCCTGCTCCTATGCCATCAGCCAGTCAACCAACACCCGCCATCGAACTGAGTGGGAGTAGGGGACCCAGGTGCACTTCACACCTGCTCCCGCCCACACAGGGCCCTCGAGACTGGAAGGGGTGACAGGGTGAGACACCAAGTCCTTGCCGCTAAGATAATACGTGGCCAGCCTGGTGGCACAGCAGGTAGCATGCTGAACTGCAGTGCCGGAAGCCACTGGCCAACCTCGGGTTTGGATCTCAGGTCGACTTGAAAACATGGCACAGGATCCCGTGGAGCTGGAGGGCTGGGGCAAGGGGGTTGTGGACGACAGCCCGTGAGAGCTTCTCGCTCCTGTGCATGCTCACGTGCTCTCTATTATGAATAAAATAAACTAAAAAGTTACTAATGCTACTTACACTCATAGCTAACGCGCGGCGGCTAGGCGTGTCTCCGGGCACTGTTCTAGGCGGTTGGCGTGTACGTGTTCACTTAATGCCCACACGCGCCGAGGAAAGGACGGCCCGCCCGGTTTGCAGGTGAGATCACTGAGCGCAGGAGAGTTAAAAGACTTGCCCAAGGGCAGGTTTGCTGATGCCATTGGAGCCCGCAGACAGCTGGAGTGCTTGCTTGTAGCCAGGCCGGCAGTTGTCATGGGCGTCGGCGCTGTCGGCAGGGTTGGCAATAGGCTTGGTGTTTTGGTTTCTCGGCAACAGCACTATCGGCATTTGGACAGAACAGTTCTTCATTGTGAGGCTGTCCAAGGCATGGCTGGGCTTTTGGCTTCCACCCACCAAGTGCCAGAAGGGCCTCTGGCCATCATGATGACAGAAAGCACCCCCCGGAGTTGCGGCCCGCTTCCCCGTGTGCCGAGAGCAGAGCGTGCTGGCTGCTGACTGCACCTAGGCCCGGTGCCCTGGCCGGCGGAGGGCAACTCGGCGGCTCTGCTCTTACTAATGCTGTATGGCCGGCCTTGCTCCAGTCTTCCCGCTGCGGGTGGGCCCAGCCCTGCCTCCTGGCTGCTGGGTAACCTTGGGAGAAGTCACCTAACCTCTCGCCTCAGTTTCTCAATCACTTGGGGAGCTAGTTGATAATAATTTTATTTCGGGAATCAGTAAATGGCATAATGATTATGTCACTAGACTCCCACATAGTTGACCGCAGTTCGAGTCCCGGACCCAGCAGCTTAAAACTCATGCTGGGCTTGTGTGTGTGCATGCCCACGATCCTGAGAGGAGAATGGAGAAGGGATTGCGGCGTGGCCATCCCCCCGGGGGGTGATTTCTCATGCACTCACTGGAGAAAGACACAGAGTGGGAAGTCATCCCCCATGGCCATGCCTTAATCCCTTCTCTTTGGCATGTACCTGCTGTGTTTTTCTCACGTAGTAGACTGTGGATTGAGCCCCGGACCCAGTGACTTAAACTCATGCCGGGAACGTGTGCGTGCCCAAGATCCCAAGAGGAGGATGCAGGAGAAGGGATTGCGGTGTGGCCCTACCCCCTGGGGGTGATTTCTCGCTTTCTGTCTCTCTGTCTCTCTCTTTCTGGCGAGCGCACCCGGCCTATCGCAAAAACCTCTCCAACAGCACAAAAGAACAAAAATTGCCAGAGGGCATATGTACTTGCCAGAGAGACGGAGATGGGGCCAGGTATAGAAAGCACTGCCAGAAATACTAAACAAACAAACAAACAAACAAACAAATAAATAAATCAAAGAAACAACATTTAAAACAAAGAGAAAGCGCCGCCCCATGGGACGTGGTCAGGCTGCCACTCTTCCCCCATCTCTCTGTCCTGCCAGGACATGCTTTGCTTTTCTTTCAGGTTTTTGCCATAGGGCATGTGCTCTCATTGGAGAGAGTCAGAGACAGAGAGAAAATGAGAAATCACGCCCTGGGGGGATAGCCACGCCGCGGTCCCTTCTCCATTCTCTTGGGATTCTGGGCATGCACCCACATGCGCCCAGCGCAATCTGTAAGCCACTGAGCCTGAGACTGAACCCCGTGCTCGGCCGTCAGCACCTCAACCACCCCGCCACCTGCAGGCCCCCCGCCCAGCCTGGTTTTCAAGCTGCTGGGGCTGGAACTTGAACTGCAGTCAGCCATGTCAGAGCTGGCTCCCCTAACCTCTGCACCACAAGTCCACACCAAAATTATATTTTCTATGCAGTCGTGAACTGCATGATGATGTTTCAGTCAACAATACACCCCGTGTACAAGGTCCCATAAGATGAAACTCTGTACCCAGGGTGTGCGCCATCTATCTCTATGAAGGTACACTCTGGGTCTGAGACTTGAACTGCAGTCAGCCATGTGGGTGTCCAATGATGTAACCATTGCGCCATCTGCTGGTCCCCCAATTCTCATATTTCAACTGGACAGCATAGTGCTATGTGAAATACTAATCTATTTATTTATTTTTAATTTGCCAGAGAGCACGTGTACTCTGGAGAGAGACAGACTAAGAGAGGGAAAGCAAGAAAGTACCTCCGTGGGCCATGGTCACATCACGATTCCTTCTCCTTTACTTCTCTTTCTTTTTGGAATTTTGGGCACCTCACAAACCACGCACACGCAGGGTCTGAGACTCGAACCATGTAGTCAGTCATGTGGGATCCAGCGCCTTAACCTCCAGCCGCAGGCTGGCCTATTAGTGTATTTATCACCCACCTACCTCCTACTAATAGAATGGGCGCTGCAGGAAGACTGGGCTGTTCTGTTTACCACTGGACCCTTGGCGCTAGCTCAGCTCCTAGACTCAGTAGTTATTTTGATGTGGACGGCCCGGAACTCACAATAGCCCAAAGCCAGGCCGGCAATTGCCAACATTTCCCAGGCTTCTGTGAATTCCCCGCCTCTGCCTCTCTCCCTCGAAAGCAATAAAAGCAATCTGAGACCTTGAGAAGCAGGACACCCCGCTTATCTGACCCTTCCTTCCTGAGAACGAACTCTGGGCTGCATCTTCCTGATGGGCTGCTTCTCCCTGACAGGATACCTTAGTCCGCTGAAAACCCACCCCTCCACCAACTCCCTCATAAAAGACTGCTTAACCCCTAAGGGGGGGGGCAAAGAGTCGGAGTGTTAACTCCTCCCTGCCTGCTGATGTAATTAAAGAGTTCTCTTTTCTCTCCGGAGTGCTGCGTTTTGTCCCCGGGCCGTCTGCTTTTCCGCCACAATTTTTTGAATGAATGAACGTTATGGCTGTTTTTCCTGATGACTGATCTCTGACATGAACTCTCAGATGCCCCTTATTCCCACCTAATCCCCGTAGCTGGCTCCTCTTCTCCCAAGATCAGGGGTCCAGGTAGATGCCAGATTGACTGGAGAGAGGAAAGGGCAGTCCCGGTGGAGGGAGTGAGGCTGGTCAGAGAAGGAATCTCATTCCGCTGAAGGTCTTCCAGATGGTGATCGCTCCCTCCAGGAGATGGGCCTAGTTATTTCCATGGAGATGGATGTACTATGCCACTCCCTGGAGGGAAGGGATGAAGACCTGGTTGCCATGACGACCCCACATCCTCAGGCTGGTGAGAGTTCTGTACCAGCCAGAGGCCCTTTGGGTGGAATGGGAGTGAAGAAGTGAGATAAAAATAGCTACATAGGCAAGAGCTAAGCCCTTGGCCTTGAGGCTCTGGAACCACATTCTACCCTCTGCTGGTTTCACTCCCTGACCGATCCCGATCCCGATCCCGGGCCCTCTCCCCTCAGTTTCCCAACTACTGTCTCTTTTCCTGTCTTAACTCCGGGATTCCAAAATGCACAGAGATAACTCCTCCACCACGCTTGGCTTCTCAGTCCCCTACTGTCTTCTCCTCCCAAGATTTTGTCCTCTTCCTGCCTTCAGTCACTCAGTCCCATGACCAGACCCAAGACCTGGTCACAACCTCAGTTTGTTTTTCTTTAAGAATTAGTTATTTAGGGGGACCAGCAGTTGGTGTAATGGCTATGTCGCTGGTTTCCCATGTAGTCGACCGTGGTTCGAGTCCTGGACTCTGCGGCTTAAACTCACGCCGGGCACATGTGTGTGTGTGTGCCTAAGATCCCAAGAGGAGAACGGAAGAGAAGGAATTGCAGCATGGCCATCCCTGGAGTGGGGGTGGGGGGCAATTTCTCACTTTCTGTCTCTCTCTGTTTTTCTGGTGAGCGCACATGGCCTATAGCAAAAAACTCTCAAAAAAAGAAAAAGAATTAGTTATTTAGGGGCCGGCAGGTGGCATAGTGGTGAGGGGTACTGGCCTCCCACATGGCTGATCGTGGTTCGAGTCTAGGACCCAGTGGCTTGCTATCTCACTTTCTTTCTCTCCCCATCCCTTTCTGGGCAAATTAAAAATTAAGTAAATAAAATAATTATTTAAAAAAAGAATTAGTATAATGGCTATGTTGCTGGACTCCCATGTAGTTGACTGTGGTTCGAGTTTCGGATCCGGCAGCTTAAACTCACGCCAGGCATGTGTGCGTGCATACCCAAGATCCTAAGAGAATGGAGGAGAAGGGATTGGAACGTGGCCGTCCCCCCTGGGGGGTGATTTCTTGCTTTCTATTTCTCTGTCCCTCTCTGTCTGGCAAGTGCATGCACCCTATAGCAAAATAACCTCCCTCCCCCCCAAAAAAAATACAGGGTATATGTGCTCACCAAAGAGAGAGAGAGCGAGAAGGAACGTGAGAAAGAAAGCTGCCAGGCCTGGGACTAGAAACACGGTCAGCCATGTGAGAGTCTAGCACTTTAACCACCACGCCACCTGCAAGCCCCTGTTTTTCTTCTTTCTTTTCTTTTTAAATAAGTATTTATTTTGGGACCAGCAGTTAGCGTAATGGCTATGTCGCTGGACTCCCACGTAGTTGACCGCGGTTCACGTCCTGAACCTGGTGGCTTAAAACTCACGCCAGGTGCGTGTGCGCGCATGCCCAAGATCCCGAGAGGAGAATGAAGGAGAAGGGATTGCGGTGTGACTATTCCCCCGGGGGGGGGTGATTTCTCACTTTC